AAAGAAAAAAAAAAAAAAAAAAAGAAAGAAAGAAAGGTGTAAAGACCCTTGGAGAAGAGCCCCTTTCAGGGCCAGGTTCCTTTCCCCATATCACTGTCATTCATCCAGCAATAACCACGACACTGTCTTGGGAGCCCTCAGGCCCTGTGTGCTCTGCCCTCCCTCCCTCCCCACAGCCACTGTGTCCCATGGTCTGCAGGTCCTCTGCTCCCTTTTTGTGCTCCGCACCACATGTCTCAAACTCCTGCTCACTCATTATGTGTGGATAAATCTCCATTCAGCTCACCTCAACATGTCTGCTGGGCGAAGCTTCCTTTGGCCCCACCCCTCCCAACAGTCACTCATAAACACCCTGCACTTTGCCTTCTTGTTCCTTATCAGACTATAAGCTCCATGAAGAAATTGTCTTGCTCAACAATATAATGGTGCCTCTAGCAAGCTGTTTTACATGCCCTAGGTGCTTAATAATTTTTTTGTTGTTCTTGTTTTGCTTTTCAACTACTAGAGATTGAATCCAGGATCCTGAACAGCTACATCCCCAGCCGTTTTTCCTTTTGAAATGGAGTCTCGATAAATGGCCAGGCTGGGCTTGAACTTCCAAAATCCTCCTACCTCAGCACCCCAGAGTGCTAGAATTACAGGCGTGCACTGCCATGCTAGACTAGTAATTTTTTTTTTTTTATTGAATGGAAGAATCCATGAATGAATAAAGAGCGATTCAGCACTTTACACACATGACTCATTAATTCCACAACTAACTCACTGAATCTGCACAACTGCTTGTTGTCTCCATTTTAGAGATGAGGTAGGTGAGGCTGAGAGCAAGAAAGTGGTGGAGCTAGATTTGGTCTCTAGTGGTGCCTTTTGCACAGCTGCCTCTCAGCACCTACGACCAGGGTTTATATGGCAAGTTGTTGTCAAACTAAGTGTCCCAATGTGGGGCTGGAGGACACCAGCCCAGAGGTACTGAAGCCCTTTTGGCACTACCCACTTGGGGGTGCTGCCCTTCTACAATCTTAGGCTGCTTCCCTCCTACTCCCTTCTTGGCCTCCTTCCTTTCCAGAGAGAGAGGACAAGGAATTACAGCCCAGGCAGCCTTTCTGGGAAAAACAATCCTGTGGTGAACGGAACTCTGTGATGAGGGCAGAAAGACCTGGAGTTAAGGCCTGGCAAAAAGCACCCTGTTAGGGGTCCACACGGGTGTCTTCTTTTGGGATTCTGCCTAGGCTCCTAACCCACCTGTTATCCGCTTTGCACCTCCTGATTCCCAATGTTTTTTTTTT